ACGTCTTCAAACATTTTATCGTCGGAGGTGAAGACTGCAGCAGCTTCTTCTTCTTCTTCTGTGGTTTAAAGTGTCTCTACTTCCTGTGATGGGTCCAACTAAGTGTTTTGACTGTGAACCAACAGAACCAGGTTCAGTTTGATCCAGACCCAGAACTCCTCTTGTGGTCTGAGGAACCGCTCAGAGCTCAGACTCTGAACCTAAACATCAGTTCAGTGGAAGCTGCTGTGGCTCTTTCACCTGATCAGTGTGAAGCTCTGACGTTCAGGATCACTGCAGTCAGAGGAAACTCTTCCTCTGGTGGAACCTCCTCATCCTCCCACGTGTCTCAAGCTCACAAACATCTCACAACACGTGAGCAGCTTTCACTGAATATCTGAGCAGGAGACAGAAACCACCTGATGAGGTTCAGGTGGTTTTCCTCTGCTGTGTCTTCTCCAGGTGAAACGGGTTTAATGGCTCCAGAGCAGTTCTTCTGTTCATCTCAGTGCAGCATTAACCTCCACACAGAGTCACTGTCTCTAATGCCAGGCAATCTGCTTGGTGTGTTTTTGTCTATTCCAAATGCAGTTGGCTGGTTTGGCGTTCTCTCCTCCCTGAGGTTTGTGTTTCTCAGGATTCATGAGCCAACAAATAATAACAGCAGGACGAGTGAAGCCGGCTCGATCACGATGAGGCTTCACGACAGCAGCTTCATTCATAAAAACATATTTGCATTTAATTTTCCACTTAATCCTGAGATCACTTTTCAAAATATGTGCACAGCAGATGCAGAAAGACGAGTGTTGTGCTTTACTGTGTTCTTTGGAAGGTTCTCAGCTCCTCAGGGGTGAAGTTAAGAAATGAACAGTGAACGCAGCTTCGTGGTCAAATCCACCGTTCAGTCGAGGACGTAAACACAGAGACGCTGAACTGTCTCAGCTTCTTGTCTTGATGACTGACAGCACAGTTTATTATTATATACAGTGCAGCTATGGGCAGCACTCTTTTCTATGAGGGGCCTTTCAGGTTTCAGAATCGAACCCAAGGACACTTCAGAAAGGCCAGACTGGGATAGAACTGCCGACCTTCTGGCTGGAGGAAGACCGCTCTACCCCTCTGCCACAGCTGCCCTTAGATTAACATCTCGTACATTTGGTCACTACCCAGAGCTCAGAACATGGATCCAGTTTAGATCCCTCTTCATCTCAACACCAGAACTTCTCTGACCCACCTGCGTCTCCTGCTCTGACTCTCAACTCGACCCCAACCACAGAAATCCAGAGATCTGGCAGAGAACCGGCCTCAGACTCAGACGTGTCACACTTGGCTGCAAATGGCCGCGGTGCACGCTGAGGTCAAGGTGTGATGAAGCCAAACAAAAGCATCTACTGGGACTGTACATGACTTATAGTTAGGGAAGACATTCTAACCTCCAGTTTTACAGCTTGGAACTCTCCATCAGAAGCTGGGCCAAGGTGCAGAGCGGGACGTACACACTTTGGAACAAAATGTCCGTGTGCTGCTGTGACACTGGAGCAGGAAATCTTCAGCTTCCATCAAGTCTTCATTAGTTTAAAACGCACATCGCTGCTCTGCTGCTGTCACAGGAGTGAATCGTTGTTTCCTGCTGGCGTCGTCCGGCTTCCTGGACATTCACAGTGTTTTATGTCAACAATGATTATGTCCTCTGGGGGATTATGGTGAAACCAGTGACACAGTGAAACCTGTGGAATCCTCTGGTCATGAACTCTGGTCGTGATGGATTGGTCCTCTGACAAACATCTGGAAACTATACAACGTGCAACCGATGCCGCTGCAGAAACTTGTTGTTGACGACCTCAGACAGAGGAGAGAGAGGAATCACACAGACGCTGATTCGTCCTGATGTGTTTCCATTGAAAACTATGATCTGGTTGCTCTAAAACTTCCTGTGAAGGATTATTATAATTCAAAATGTCTTAAGTTCCAAACCACCTTCATTAACTGAAATCCAATATTCAACTCCAGGATAAACGTTGAGCTTTCTATGTTGCCACACAAAGTTCGTACGTCTTTACTGTTCCGATCTATCCGTCTTTGATTCGGCCCCAAAGAAATCCAAAGTCTTATATTTATTATAAGAAGCGTTTACATTTCAGCTTATTACGAAATGAAATGTTTCTTTAAAGAATCCGTAAGAAAACAGATATCAGTGGATCATCAGTGAAACAGCGGCTTAACCCCATCACCCGACACGAAGTCATGTGAGTGGTTCTCTAGGCGGGAGGTCAAAGGTGAGGATCAGCGAATCAGATCATTGGATGAGCATCGACAAATAATAAAGTTTGGAGTTTGTGATGTGTTCACGTTTATTTTTGGGAACTTTTTATTTCACATGCGTTTGAACTGAAAACTGATTCAACCCACGAGAATCATTCAGATCAAAAGATCAAATAACGGGGGGGGGGGGGTCATTATGCAGGAGCTCGGTCTCCATGGATACACAAGGTTCTCCGCTGTGAGTTAAGGTCTCGACTTTTTAAGAACTTTTTAACAGGCAGTGTTTTCTGGTGCTGTTTGGATTCATGAATGTGTTTGAGGGTTTGTCTCGTAACGTGTCGGGTTGGTGCAGGTAATGACAAAACAGGACAGCTCCCTAAAGTGAAGCCGAAACATCTCCGTCGCCCCCTGGTGGCTGACGCTTCTTCAAGTGTCTCTGATCAGTTTGGTTTAAATCAGTTATTTGAAGAAATAAAAACAGGCGGAGACGTCATGATTGACAGCTGACACTGACTCCTGATCGGTCGTGTGGCTCCACGATCACTACTGCGCCGACTCTGACTGTAAATGATGTCATCACCACAAGATGGCAGCGTTTTAGCTTTATTTTTGTACAGTGTGAGGAAGTGAAAACGTTTCATCCATCTTTACTTACAGTTAATTACTTTATCTCAATTAAGACATTTAGTTCCTGCTGCTCATCCACTTTGATTTTCATGTTGTGGTCAAAGTGTGAGAAATGTTAACAAAGGTGAGCTGCCATAAAAACAACCCGGAGGTAAAAGTTTGTGAACTTAGCAGCTGGAAGGAAAGAGACGTAAACCAAGAAGCTGTCATGATCCTCGCTGACCTCGTTAGAGAAACGTTTGGTGTGTGTGAACGTATCCTGATGAAAACACTTATCATACTTAACTATTTGTCCATGATTTGTGTGTGTGTCTGTGTGTGTGTCTGTGTGTGTCTGTCAGTGTGTGTGTGTGTCTGTCTGTGTGGGAGATGGCTGCACTTTGTCAAAGTGAGAAGACACAAGTTGAACAAATCCTCTGCAGCTGTGCAGCCTGTTAAACATCTGGAGGAAATAAAATCATCACATTTAAAACTCAACAATTAAAAACAAAACAAGTTGTGGAAACGTCCTATTTGGCAAAAATGTGTCAGTGACAAATGACAGTTGTTGAACTTTCCTCTCATATGGAAACGTTCACAGAGGTTTAGCTTGGATCAGAAAACCTAAACGCAGCTTCACAGATGATTATTGATCTGAGCTGAAAACAGTTTCTTCTCCTGTTACGTCAAAGTGACTTATGAGGAATTTTTCATAGTAATTTATAATTGAGAGAAGAAAAAAAAGGAGCTGCGGAGAAAAATGTGGAATCTGTGTGTGTGTTTGATTGACAGCCGAGCGGGAAGAGGGAGGAGACACAGAACCAATCAGAATCTAAACCGACTGAAAACATTCAAAGATGAGTTCATTGATCTGTCGCTCGTTCAAACGCTGGTCGGACAAATGAAGAGTGAATCTGTGTCTGACAGAAAAATGACTAATAAAATCTCTGGTCGAGAAATGTTTCATTAAGATGTTAAAGTTACACCGTCAACCGTAAATGTGCCGATGACGTCATTTACAGTCAGAGTCGAGGTCCCGCCCATACACACTCTCAACCAATCCTGAGTCAGTGTCAGCTGTCAATCATGACGTCTCAGAAACACTTGAACAAACATCAGTGAGACAGAAAAACCTGAAACGACAGAAACATCTTTACAAACTTTTGTTTAATGTCTTCTTTTCTTATTTTGGTCCATGTCCCATCTGCTAACATGGAGGAGGAGGTTAATGAACTACACTGCAGCCAGACACCAGGGGGAGATAGAGATGACTTGGCCTCACTTTTGGGAGCCGTCATGTCCGTCCATCCATCTATACATCTATCCATATATCCATGTACTTCAAACAAAACATATATACGCTGAAGTACAGATACATGATGTACTAGAGTAGATGTACTGAGTTCCATGTCCCCACTGTGGATCATCCTCGGGGACATTGAACCGTGAAGACAGAGCTGTTAGTTGCTGTGTGGTTTGAGGAGCAGATGTGGGATCTGAACACATCATGTCATATTTGGACTCACGATGTTTGACCTCATGTCGTTGGTTGTAAAGAACAAACACACATGACCACATCAGCGTGTGGTCATAACGAGGACCAGGGCGTTAGCCTGCCGTTCCTCCGCTCTCGTGCAGGAGGCAGATGTTAGCTCGGAGGCCGTGGCGTGCTCGTTTCTGCACCCTGGGTGGGGTGTGGGGGGGTGGTTAGGAACCCCCTCCCACTCAGAGTGACTCAGGCATGATGGCGTGAACTTGAATGACATCACAGTGACCAGCCAATCACAACACACAGTGGCTGTTTTCCCAAAACGTCCCCTGGCCAAGTCTTACAGTTTGTTGTCCAATCAGAGTTAAGCATCAGATGTTTGTTTGAACGTCCAGATCCACTTTGACCACGAGCGTTTTGGGAAACACAGCGGATCACATGACGCTGCAAGCAGGGTGTCAATCAGCCAATCAGCTTTTTGCTTTACCTGTCAGTCCTCCTCTCCTGCTATTGGCTGGAAGAGGTTTCTGTACATCAGACACAGAGGTAGATACATACATGAGAGGATATTACCCAGAGTTCCACACTCACACACCTGAAGAATCACAGGAAATCAAATCAAATGGTCAGACTGAACTTTGATCATTGGTCCGAGGAACCTTTGATCAAACCTTTGATCTGAAACAAACAAGGTGTGAACGGTTCCTGGTTCGTTTACTTGATGCTGTTCCAGGTTCCACATCCATTCACTAGAGATCATTCACTGTCCGAGGCGTCATTTCATTTTCAATGTCACAGCTTGAGTTTAAAAGAATTATTATGATTTACTCCTGAAAATGTTCCAACAAAAATCTGAAGGATAAATTTATTGTAAATCCAGAGGCCGTTAAAGTTTGAGGACAGAAAAGCTTTGAGTGTGCGTGTGAGGAGGATCATCACAGTGTGAGGTCACGTGACACAGAGTGAAATCTACTGTTAAACACAGACTCACTGAGGAATGTGTGTTTACAGAAACAATAAAATGAGGAGCCTCAGAGTTTCTGAGGGACGAGCTGTGAAGGAGGTCAGATCTCCTGCTGTGGACAAACACTCGGCTGCAAATCAACGTTCATGCTTTTCTTTTCTCTTCTTCTCACATTTAACTTTTTATGTGTAACACGTGTGTGTGTGTGTCTCACCTGTGTTACTGTGTCGCTTGGTGAACGGGTTGAGCGTAGCTTTAGCTTTGGACGTCCAGTTAGCGGTGCTGGAGCCGAACGAGCTGGACGACAGAGACATGCCCAGGTTTTCTGAGCTCACCTTCTTGGTGTTGTTGGTGGCCGTCTTACTCCAGTCTGCAAAACACACAACAATGAGTCAACACGTCCCGATCCATCGTTCCACAGAGTCGCCATCGAACAGAACCGACATCAGAGACACAGACACAAGTCCAGACAGAACCAGAGTCTCATAACATAATGTGTGTGAGCTGGTGCACGTCGGCCGTGAAAACACGTGAAAACATGAGTAAACATGAAGTGTGTGTTTCCTTCCAGGTTTAAACGAAGGCTAAATATTTCAGGAACAGACTCATCCCCTGTTTTAAAGATGAAGCGGCTGCAGTACAGACGAGAGCAGACGGTCTAAACCTGCAGGACTTCCTGGTCCACCTTATTTTATCTTTTTTTTATTAGCTGCAAAGCCGAAGTGACTTAGCTTTTATATTTTAATAAAACGTCTGCTGCTGTGGGAAACTGGTGAAAGTCCAGCAGACAGATTTGACAGGACTCCTGTGAGAACAGGCCGAGCTGTGGACGGACGGATGGACGGACAGATACCTGAGTTGTCCGACAGCTTGAATCGACCGCAGCACATGTATCTCCTCCACTGCTTCTGCACGTTTTCTTTCAGGGCGCAGTGGAAGATGAAGATGAACAGACCTGGACAGAGACAGACAGCTTGAGTCACAGTGATGATGACCAGAGTTCATCCACCGCTCTGTTCTCCGCCAAATCACAGGATACGACACAAACTGAGAGCAGCTGACATCACTTTGTTAAGACCAAAACAACACAACTACAGGAGTCACACAACGGAAACACAATCACATCAGGAGTGAGCGACAACAGATGTTGACACTGAATCAAGCAGATTTACTGACAGATGCTGTGTGACGACAGGAGCTCTCGTGGTGTCACACCTCAAACCAACGTTGAACCTGCTGCATTAGTGCCTGTGTGTGTGTGTGTGTGTGTGTGT